GGAGACCAGAGCTTCGCATTGCATCACGCGGAACTATTTATAAGCTATCTAGTTTCTCCGTATATATAGACCTGTAGATTACCTAGATCGCGTTCCTTAGCGGTGATCCGGATTACATCCTCCACCTGAGGCTCACTATAATCACCGTAATCCTATCGCTCCGCTCACCGGGATCACCATAAGCCTTTCGCTCCTCTTCCGACTGGTCCGTAATGACTGGCCAGGGGCGCCCCGCGCCCCGTGCGTTAGTCCCCCACCAACGATTATAACATATTTATTTAATTTATAAATACATAACTTTAGAAACAGTAATAAATGTTACATTTAAGCTAACAGTAAGTTAAATAGTATGAGAGGCGCGGGGCGCCCTTAGTTAATCGTTAGATTAAATAGAGAATAGCCAGTTAGGGCTAGATAGAAGTAATCTGGTGCTAAGAAGCATGAGCAGTCTGCAGCATACAAGATGCTCATTACGGTAAGTGTGACGAACGCTTATATAGAACCTCTGAAAGGGATACTTAGTTAAAGGCTACTCCGCTAGTACGGGTATTAGTACTGTAGGTAGCTTAATCCCCTACGCTTTTTCCGATTTTTCTTTAGCTTTGATAGTTAGTCTTTCGCGGTATTCCTTACCTTTAGTCGTTTAGAGTTCCTCCAATGGAACTCCTTTAGCTTTTTAAAATAATTAAGGTTCGTAGTTAGCTCCTAAAAGTTATCCGTAGCTAGGTAGCCTAACTAATTAACTAAATATTTTAATTATTTATTATTAATACGTAAATTTAGTACTTCTTTTATATTATATTCTTCTTTTTCGTCTTTAACTTTTATTTATATATTTAAATTAGCTACCTGTAATACCGGTTCTAAAAGTAAAATATAAAAAATATTTAATTATAGCTGTATAATACTTAATAGTTTAAACCTAAATACTATTTTTAATACCTTTTCTTCGATTATAAAAGGTTTTACCCTCCTATAGTCTAGCTTCTTACTTAATTGTTTTATATATAAATTCCGTATAAAAGAGAATACTATATTTCTCCCTTTAAGGCAAGGTCCTTCGAGCCTTTTAGTATTATAATATTTCCGTATCTTTTTCCTTATAAACTTTAGTTTTTTCCTTAAACTTACCGTAAAATATATATAGTTTATTTACCTTAACCTTAGCCCTAGGTACTTTAACGCTTAATCCCTACCGTAAATATACCTTATATTTAAAGTTTATAAAGAATAGTGTAACTTTAATCGTCTCTATTAGTAATATATTATATATTAATTATACCGTAAGTAATAGTTTAACTTAATTGTCTTACTTGAAATTAATATAACTCCGTAGATACTATTTTATAACCCAGTTAAGCCGTTCTGTTTAACTGTTTATTTAAAGGTAGTAGGCCGAATATACCTTACTTATTATCCTTAGCCTCGTTATTAACGTGTTACGGTTCTGGAAGACAGTGGGGCCACGAGGGACTAATCATGACTGGACCGCGCGGTCGAGCGGGGCTCACGGTCTAGGTGGGCAAACGGGCTAATAAAATAGGGACCGGGGACCGCGGCGGAGCTCACGGTCCACGGTCCAGTATCGGCTAATCAGGAGTGGACCGAGGACCGTCTGTAAGTCAACGGTCCACGGTCCCAAGGTCTATATATACCGAGGAACTGGCTGGTGCAGGTAGACAGTTCCGCAGTATGCAATTTAAGTTATAATCGTTGGTATTTAGACTGTTGTGATCGAGACAAGCTATTATTATATACTGTTTAGCTGTACCGAACTAGGATTGTTCAGAAGAGCCTTTAACCGGTATCTTTTTCAGAGGTTCTGGATAGAAGTTCGTCACAAAGTAATAGTTTAAAATTGAATAATACTATTATAATTAACATTATTATAACCAACAACAATATTATTTTTATTTCAAATAACAATATTACTAATAAATATTTAATAATCTGAAGAATATATTAATTTTATCCAAATTATAAATCTAATTTGACCTTAGTGTTTACTTTTATTATTACAATATTAAGAAACTTTTAATAATCCATGAATATTGGTACCTACAGTATCTATAACTAAATAACTAATGTAAAAAATATTACTTTTAAATTAAAATGTGTAATATTAAAGTTAATAGGCTAATTAATAATTATTACAAAAGTTCTAGTTTCAATCAGTTAAGTTTTATATAATTATATAATTTAATAATAATAAATTAAAAAAAATATTATTTCTTAATATTTGAAGCTATATCTATAATTTCGTCTTCTCTTAAATATAAAATATAATACTTAGTATAGTACCTTATAGTTAGTTTTATTAAAATATTAAACGCTACTAAACTTACCTATAGCTAGAATTATGGCTAGATATCGGAAAAGGTGGGTGGGGCTGTAAAAATACACGACTCGGACGCCAGACACTCAGCGCTGCCTGGATTCGGAATGCGGTCCTGCTTCAATCCACAAAACAAGAGATAAGTGACGTCGGTATTGTGGTCTGGTGCCATCATGTCTGAGCCTCGAGCTCCAAAAAGGCTTTTGCAAGATGTTTCAGTTATCTTCCCTGACAACTGACCAGAACCATCCGATGTATTCTCTAGGCGGGCGAACAGACAGTTTGAGGCTCTGGTAATAAGCTTCCACAACTACGTAGAGGACAACGTCCAACCGTTGCCTGGGAAAACCAAACCACCGGCGAAAATGCCGAGCCTTGACTCGGCGTCGGCTCTGGACCTTCAAAAAAGAAAGAACGTCGCATCCGGGGCTAGAAACCAACTCCCCGGACTCCCGATCTTCAACACCAAACCCCCTCCGTTCCGAACCCTCCGATTTTTTTCGGTTTTTGGCCTCCGTCTGTCCGGCCAATCATGGGTGCAAAGGGGGGGTGTGCAAGGTGACAGGGGTTGTTTTGAAGCACTCAACAAAAAGGGTTTAGGCTCCCCCAACAAAATCGGGGGGTCCACAGAGCCAAGATTTGCACATGCATTTTTTGTGTTGTGTGTCTGGCCAGCAGCAAGCAGGGGCAGAGAATAAAAAAAACGTTGTGTTTGGGTGGATGGGCAACACCGGTGGTTATGACCGGGAAGTGGGATGGGAGGGTTATGGGATGGACGGAAGAATGAGACGGATGGTGGGTAGGTACACACGGTGGTTGATGACATGAAGGAAAGGGAGAGGGCTAGCAGCTGGATGATGAGAGGGTGGTTGACAAAGAGAAGGCAAGACCCCGCCCCCGCAGTCGAAAATCTGAATTAGACGAAGAAGGAGATGCACTGACAGCTGGCTGGGATTTGTGGTTGGTGGGTCCTATCCGCTCCCGCAACACCACCTTAATAGGGACCCCACATTACGGATCTTATCGATGAGGGACAAGACGGGACTTGCTGTTATTGTTGTTGTTGTTGCAGAACTGTCGACGAAACAAAACAGCAAGAACGAGTCAATTCGGGGTGCTTCTTCGTTTGGATGGGCTGGGATGACGGCCTTGCCACTGCGCCTGAGACTTCGAGGCCGAGGGTTTCTTGGACTAGATCAACTTATCGTTGGCAGCTGGCACAGCAGAATGTCCATCTCACTCTTTGGAATTCGAATTCAGAGGACTGCGTGAAGGGAAAATGCAAGTCTACGGCGATCATCAGCTACACTAGCCTTCGAGCCTTCCTGTTCGCTCCAGCACCGCCCCTTTTCCAATTGCAGCCAATCGGTTGGGCCTCGGCATGATGCTAGATGTGGTCAACTGCGTCGTTGTCTCAGGCTCAGCTTGCAAAAAGAATGTCAAGAGTTCCTAGCATGTGAGTCTCCCGCCACCCACACCCACTCCAGAGGCGAGGCGGTGAATACCTCTGGTGCTCTCTGCTCTCCAGATCGATCCAGACATTGCCATCTGGATGAGCTAGAGAAGAGATTGCCCACCTCATCCCATGGTGAGGTGGCCAATACGTGACCTTCACGCAGAGCAGCAAACTCTATGTATGCTCTCCCAGCCTTGTACTTAATAAGGAGAAGGCGCATTCCTGCATTGACAGCAAACTGTGCTACAAAGTGGTTGCAGTGGCAGGCAATATTCTGTATCGACTTGTGCCGGGTGGTCCTTCTGTTGCAGCGGTGTCCCAACAAAATCAGACATATCGACCCACGGATAAGGAGACCGAACCGCCGCACACACACGAAAATTTCCGGACCGAGAAGGGACTTCTTTTTTCTCTTCCTCTCCTGGCCTTCCTAATCCTCTCTTTTCCCTCTCTGTGTGGCCGATCGGGTTCTGTTTTTTTTTTTTTTTGGAACGGTTCGTGGCACCTTCTCTACCTGACGCTATCCTAAATCAACCATCCGGCCGTACTAACAACACCCGTGCCCCAGACCCTTCCTTTTTTTTTCCCTCTCTCCCTTCCGCCCGTTGCTGCTGTTCTTGCACACGGTGTACTACCCGGAGCTGTTTTTCCTCAGCGTCCATCTTCTCCAATTCGTCCAATTACTCGTGCGACATCCCTCACCATGGCTGTTGGAAAGTCTTCCGGCGTTGCTGCCGAGAAGAACGCCTCTCAAAGAAAGGCTATCAACGGCGACTCGGCCGTCTCGAGCTACGCTCCCTCCCCCGCCGATTCTCCCCGTCACTCGGCCTCGTCCACTTCGCTTTCGTCTCTTGCCTCGACTGACGCCCCGGCTCCCAAGAAGAATTACGGCAAGCTCATCGACACTTACGGAAACGAGTTCGAGGTCCCCGACTTCACCATCAAGGAGATCCGCGATGCCATTCCCAAGCACTGCTTCGAGCGGTCCAACGTCCGCAGCTTCAGCTATGTCGCCCGTGACATTGCTCTTTTGGCCACCACCTTCTACCTCTGGCACAACTTTGTGACCCCCGAGTACGTCCCCAACAAGGCTGCCCGCGTGGTCCTCTGGGGTGTCTACACTTTCCTCCAGGGTCTCTTCGGTACCGGCATCTGGGTCCTTGCCCACGAGTGCGGCCACGGTGCCTTCTCCGCTTCCAAGACTGTCTGCAACGTGACCGGCTGGTTCCTTCACTCTGCTCTCTTGGTCCCCTACTACAGCTGGCAGCTGAGCCACAGCAAGCACCACAAGGCCACCGGCAACATGGAGCGCGACATGGTTTTCCTTCCCCGCACCCGCGAGCAGCAGGCCACCCGCCTCGGCAAGATGGTCCATGAGCTTCATGAGCTCGCCGAGGAGACTCCCATCGTTACTTTGATCCACTTGGTTGGCCAGCAGACCATCGGCTGGTGGAACTACCTCCTCACCAACGTTACCGGACACAACAACCACGAGAGGCACAGAGAGGGCCGTGGGAAGGGCAAGAAGAACGGTTTCGGCGGCGGGGTCAACCATTTTGATCCCCGCAGCCCTCTGTATGAAAACCGTGATGCCTGGGCTATCATCATGAGCGACATTGGTATTGCCTGCACCATCTCCATTCTGGTGTACCTCTGCAAGCAGTTCGGCACCGCCAACATGTTTGTCTGGTACTTCCTCCCCTACATGTGGGTCAACCACT